AATTTACATAATTTAAGTTACTAGGTTACAAGATATTGTGATTTAATTAAAAGTGTTATATACAAATTTGACTGTCAATTTGTATAAATTTGACTGTCAGTTTGTATAAATTTGACTGTCAGTTTGTACAAATTTGACTGTCTGTTTGTACAAAGTTAGTATGCAAAACCTGTATTAAAAAATTTTAATTTTTTAATTTTTTTAAAAAAAATTAACCAACTTTGAGATTTTTTTAAACAATTTGTAATCAAAAAAATAATTTAATTTTTTTTTATAAATATATTCTATAAATCATCAAATATTAAATACATTTATTTAATTGCAAATTAATATGTAAATTTTGTATAATTACATTTTAATTCAAATGTATTAGGTTGTGTATCATGCTTAAAGAGACGACCAATAATTGGCTTTGGTAACTTACAAAAAACTTTTTTGTTAAATATAAATCTATACAAAAATCAAATAAAAAAAAAATTGTAAAATTGTAAAAATGGGCTGTTTTAATAGATCACACCCTATATCGATATATGACCTTATCGAATTACAAACCCCCAATCTCATGGTGACTATTATTACTATATATTATATGCTAACTTTAACAAAAGATTCATTAGGTTACTTTCGAACATGGATTGTAAATTTTACCTTTTTGTAGAATTCAGAGTTTGGAAGCCTTCACATACCTTTAGAAGCTGGTCCAAATTCATTAAAAAAATCGGCAAGGTTTTATACAATTATCATATGTTAGTTAAAGAAACAGTTAAAAAAATTGATAGTATTGATGTTGAATTAGCAACGCTTTTAGAGTCTGTTACACCATCTGATCAGATTTAAACTAAAATACCGATTTATAAACTCTATACGTAGTAATATGAGCAAGTTTTAGATCAAAATTTCGTTATATTGTATATTGTAAATATGATGAAGTTGAATTAGGCTTTTATTTTTCATCCAACAATTCTTCGTGGTTACTGTTCTGGCCGAGAATATCTTTAAAAGTCAAAAATTCGCATAAAAACAATAATGATTAACCGTACCCAAAAAGTTTGCAGTCACGTGATAATTTTATGGAGTAAACGAATCAGAGTTCAAGATCAGGTGTAACGTAACACGATCAAAACTTAAAAATCACCTATTTCTTATAAAAAACAGCCTTTGGTGCATTTCCTTGGGCGATTTTACTATATCCTATGCCATATAATTTTTATGTTAATAATAATAAAATTGATATAAAAAGTATATACAGTTATAACCGCTATAGCGTTATATAACATAATAATAATAATTTTAAATTGTTTCAGACAATTACTCAAGTATCCACTATAACTGGGCCCATTATAAAAAGGGTAAACTCTACATTTACGTATTTTCATTATTTGCAAAGCATGACTTTTAAACACGCGAAATACATAATTGTTCAAGAGTTTTGGAATTTGCCATTTTTAGAGTAGGTTAGGATTTTTCCAGAATGTATATAGCGATAAGCATAGTATTTGCACCGGTATACTGTACTAGCACTTTTTTAGTTTAAAATACTATTAGACACTTACATATTTATATGTACTATACATACAGTATATAGTTTATTTTAGATTAATTTGTTCAGGTAAGTAAATAAAAAAATAGACTAGACCGTTTGCAAAACAAATAGCGTCACCTAATGAATGTGAAATAATCAGGTTGTGATTATGCCGCTAAATCGAATATATATACGTATTTATTATGATGTGACTTCGGCCTATTCCTTCAATCATCCTATCGCTATTTAAAATTTAAAAGTCAGACTTGAATTTTATAAATTTAGTTGTGAATAAGTGTCATGATTTCGTCATAAATATTAATAAACTAGTTTTACTTATTTAGTAAGCGTAATATCTATATACATTGTTCTCTATAAAAGACCTGTTTGTTGCCCGTTCTGTCTTCAAAAATTTTCATTCACACCATCGAACAAAAATAAATTAAAAATAATATTATATAAAAATGTCAGGAATAAATCCATCCATCGACCGCATATCTAAGACCAGATCTGGAAATACAGATGCTGTTGGTACACCAACTGCTACCAACAAATATGATAACACACGTCATTTAAAATATGGCCAAACGGAAAATCAAAAGAAAGCGAACGTCTCAGAGTCTAAAAATCATGAAAAGGAGGAAGAAGAAAGGTAAAGTATTAAATGAAAATTAATCATATGTGTATTTCCTATCTGAATTAATTCTCATTCTCAAAATTCGTATCTAGTATTTTGAATCTTGAACCTGATCGTAGTTACGCTTCGTGTTCAGATTCTGCACCAACATTGCACCATACGTTTTATGAAGAGTTTTTGGGTGGAGTTACTGGTGATGATATGATTGAACGTGAAGAAAAAAAGGAAAAAGAGAGAAAAAGGAAAGAACAAGAAAGGAAAAAAACTATTTGAATAGTGGACTATTACAATTTTATTCTTTTAATCTTTTATATGATTTATTTATGTTTTCCTGAATCAATATTTTTAATATTAGTTTAACGTCAAAAACTTTAACATAAATTATATTAGTTGTATGAATTTATTTGCCATGTAAATAAATAAATAAATATACATTCGTACTTTCTGCTAGCATTACTTATATTTTTCGAATAATTCAATGAATTAAAGAAATTAAAAAAAAAAAATTTATTTATTAATACATAGCGAGAGCAAAATTTACTCCTAAAAAGGTGATAGCGGTAGTGATAGTAATACACCGGTAATACACATATTGATCGATAAAATATATCAATAAAAATCAAAGAAGTTCATTCAACCAATTTGAGTAACGGTGAATTATAATTGTCTTTTACTATCTGCTATCGTTATCGTCATATTTGCAATGTTAATAAAAAAGTAAAAATTTTTAAAGAATCGAATTCCGAGTTTTTACTGCGGTTATTTATATTACTATCATTATGAGATTCAGCTTGTATTACCATTCGATGATAAAAAGATAATTTGTTCGTATCTCGCATTTAAACAAATTTAATGAAATCATTTAATATAAGCATTTTTAAATCCTTTATATAAGAGAAACAAAGTATGTCGTGTACACATTGTGGAGAAAATAGAATAGAATACGATTCCGCTGCTGGACATGCCTTTTGTCCAAAATGTGGTTACGTAAGGATCTTTTATTGTGAGTTTTTGTTTTTTTTAACGCATTAAGAATTAAGGGCGTAGCTAACTAAAGTTTTCGCGATTGAAAGGTCGTCGAAGAAAGTAAGATTGTTGCTGAAGTCACATTCGGTGAAAGCGCGTCAGGCGCTGCTATCCTGCAAGGGGCATACGTTGGTGCTGACCAAAGTAAAGCACTCTCAATTTAAAGTAATTTGCATAATTATTCAATAATTTCGACGAAAAATTCTTATTGAACGTTATTATTTTTATAGGACGTGCTAGAACTGCCGGTCCTTACAGAAGACACTCTAGTTTAGATTCGAGAGAACAGACTATCGCTAATGGTATCAAAAATTATACCATATTTATAACTTGTTAGTAAATGTTCGAAATTTTGTTAACGTATTGTCAATTTTGGTGATTAGGAAGACGTCAAATTCAAGCACTTGCAACTGCTCTACGTCTCTCAGATCATTTAATGGAAGCTGCACAACGATACTTTAATCTCGCGATAACCAATAATTTCATTCAAGGTCGAAAGACTCAACATGTCATTGCAGCTTGTCTATACATTGTATGTCGTACTGAAAAGACATGCCATATGCTGATTGATTTTTCTGATATTTTGCAAGTAAGATTATATATTTTATGATATTTTTCATTATAATATATACATATTGATCCAAGTTTTATTTTTTGCTCGATTTTAGGTTAATGTCTTTACACTTGGTTCAACTTTTTTAAAATTGGTTAACACACTTCATCTTGTACTTCCGTTGATCGATCCATCCATATATATTACAAGATTTGCTTCTATGTTGGAATTTGGTGAAGAAACAGGCCGTGTTGCTAATGATGCTGCTAGGCTTTGTCAACGTATGGAACGCGATTGGATGCAAACAGGTAGACGGCCTGCAGGAATTTGTGGTGCATGCAAGTATTAAATAAATACCTTTTGTCATTTTATTGTTTGCAAACTTTCATTTTACCTTTTATTCTAATCTTTACTATTTGTAGGTTTACTTATTGCCGCTCGAATGAATAATTTTCGGAGAAGTGTTAAAGAAGTAATTGCTGTAGTAAAGACTGCTGATATCACAATTAAAAGAAGGTTTATAATCTTAAATTTATGTACGTGTATTATTAATTATTGTTCTTTTAAATTCACCGTTAAAAAATCTTTTTAATTAGAATTGAAGAATTCAGGGAAACTCCCACTGCAAAACTTACCGTTCGAGATTTTAGAGTTGTTTGGTTAGAACAGGAAAGTGATCCACCATCTTTTACAAGAGCTCGTAAAGCTGAGAAAAACGCAATTGACAGACGACAGCAAGCTTCATCTACCGAACATGATGGTAATGATCAAATACAAACAAATTCATCTCAGCAGAGTGAAACAGCTGATAAAATAAAAAAGAAGAATAACGTTAATATTAATGATACAGACGTGGATGATGATATTGATGATGATATTGAAGATGAACCGAGCGATATATTAAAACAAACAAATGATATTGAAGAACAAATAGATCGAGAACTTGAAGAAGAAATGAACACTTATCTAAATGATCCAGCTTTAAAAAAAATTTCATCAGAAATGGAAGGTAATTAATCATTTACTTTCATCACTTGTTTTATTTCTTATAATTATTTTTTATAATTATTTTTTACTAATTAATTAAGTTTATATTTATGAAAAAAAGCTAACAAGAATGGATCAGATAATATGGATGATGAAGAAATAGGATCTGATTTTGATGATGATGAAATAAGGAATATAGTTCTGTCTGAAGAAGAAGTTAAAATAAAGACACAAGTATGGATGGACATGAATCACGAATATCTGAAAGAAGTTGAAGGTGTTAATATAATCTAATTTCTTTAAATATATTTTTACATTATTATATTAATTTATATGTTTCTTAAATAACTTGCGCAAAATAGCAAAAAGGAAAAAACAAGAAATAGATCGTGCAAATGGTATTGGTGTTCGCAGAGTATGTGGAATTTATTTTAGTTTAATAAAATGATGATTTGTTTCAATATGATAAATTCCTTTAATTATTGAATAGCATAAACGACCAAGAAAAGGTAAAAATGATGACCAGTCAGTTGCCAGTACTCCAGCTGAAGCGGCAAGAAGATTATTTGAAGAAAGAAATCTTTCAAAGAAGATCAATTTTAAAATTTTGGATTCACTTTTTGATAATATAGCAGGGGGGAGTATACCAAATACGCCTACTTCATGGAGAGATTATGATCCCGCTAGTGTTAGTGGCTCTGGAATTGCACGTAGTGGTACCCCAGCTAGTTCTAGATGGGATGATGATGAGGAATTTGGCGACTATTATGACAATAGTTATGACCAAAGTTATGACCAGAATTATGAACAGAATTATGAACAGAATTATGAGCAGAATTATGAACACAATTATGAACATAATGATTACTACAGTAATGATGAGTATTATGACGAATAAACTACCCACCAAAAAGTTACAGTTCCATGACAATTGTGGCGCATCGCAGATCATTAACCAATCAGATTATACATAAAAAATTCACAGTCCCATGATGATATTCGCAAAATTTCATTGCTTATTGCTATATCCGATATTATATGATTAATAATAAAATTTTAAATGATGTTTCAATGAGTACCTAATCAAATTTGATGAAAAAAATTTTATTCGAATGCTACGGATTCGTAGAATTCGAATAAAAAAATTCATCGAATTGGATTAGATACTTATCGAGATACCTTTGCTCAAAGTTTTAAAATTTTTACATTTATTAAAGAAATACAAAAGTTTAAATTTTGACGAATATTTAACCGAATTTAATAAAAAAAAAAATTTATTCAAATTCTATGGATTATAGAATTCAAATAAAAAAAGAAATTGTCAAGTTTTATCTATTAAAAATTTTAAATTATAAGTAAAAATATTTTGATAAATATTTAATTAAATTTAATAATAAAATTTTTTATTCATATTATAGGTTTGTAAAAATTTAAATCAAAAAGATTTATTTATATTGAATGTTAATTGATTATTTTAAGATATCAGAATTAGTTATTTGATAATTATAAAGGTTAAAATAATTAATATTATAATTATGCATATTTATGCATTCTTTGTATATTTATATATATTTTATGCACTTTTGCATATTTATACATATTTTATACATTTATTGTATAAATATGCATAATTATTATTTTTTTTTTTTTGAAATGTCAAAGTAGAAACTTTATTAAGTAATAGAAAAATTATATTAAAGATTTCTAAATTACATTTGTGCTACTTATTTTAAGATACCCAATGTGACATTACACCTCTATTTTTATATAACATTATTATTAATTATTTCAAATTAATTTTAGGTATAGAAAGGTTGGAGAAAAACCTAAAGTGATAGTCTTGGCATTTAATAAATACAGTTAGTAAGTGAATAGCCTAAAAATAGTCAGTTTTTAATAGATATACACAGGTTGAACGAATGAATAAAGGGTGAATAATAGGTAAATAACAGAAAAAAAAACTGCCATTATTCTATCCTATATCTGCCAA